CATGAGTCCAGCGGCTCCAGTCGCCCGCGGGCTGCGGCGAGGCAGCCCTGGCGAAGGCGTGTAACGCCCGCACCCAAAACAAGAGAGAGGCCAGAAACGACAGGCTCGAGGCTCACGGAGAAGGGGAACAAGAGAGTGCAGCACGCCCGCATTGCCGCGTCCTTCGGCCCTTTGCTTCTCTTCCAGACGGGTGACAGGGAGGGAGGGACCGAGGGAGGCGCGAAGCATTGGAGCGGGCGCACCCGCGCTCAATGACAAGGGAGGACGAGAAGAAGGGCGCCAGCAGCAGCAGCGGGAGGAGGCCCTGCGGAGCGGACTTACGCAGCGGAGCTCAGGCCTCCGACGTCGTGGTTTCTCACGTTGCGTGGCGCCCTGACCTTTCAAATTCCTACCCCAGGAACCTCGCCTTCCTCCTGCGAACCGTGCTTGTTGGACACATCCGAGGACCCAAACCATGGAACAGACGGTAGCTTGGTGGGTTCGTTCGACGACCCGTCACGACGAAGGATGTCTGGGACCCTTTTCTGGGGGACTTTTTTGTCCTGGGTGGATGGGGCGCGTGATCTGTCTCCCTCATCGGCACCCCCGAACTTGTCCAGAGGTCTCTTGAGCCGGCCTGACCGTGGCGACGGGAATTTTATCATCGGTCCATCTTGCAACCCAAACCCATGCAAAAATTGATCCTCGTACCCCTCCCAGCGTCCAGCCTGGCCGGTCGTATACCCTGGACCAGTCGCTGACGGGTTGCACGGGGCCCGAAGCACGGGCCCGGAGGCCGACAATTGCGAAGGACATCTTCGAGCCTCTTCCTCCTCCTCCTCCTCCTCCTCCTCCTCCTCCTCCTCCTACTCCTCCTCCTCCTCCTCCTCCCCCCTCCTCCTCCTCCTCCTCCTCCTCCTCCTCCTTCTCCTCCTCCTCCCCCCTCCTCCTCCGCGATCGTCGGTCTCCGCAGGTCCCCTGCTGGTCCCTGGAGCAGGCTGGAGGCGTCCAGCCAACGAAAGCCAAAATGCCCAACAGCCTCCTCGAGCCTCCCACGATCGATCCCTGGGCCGTGGTCCTCGAGCTTCTTCCTCCCGCACACATGCAGCGCGGAAGGTGCCGCGCCTGGAGCTCAGCTTGGCGGCCTCCTTCTCGACCCCTCTTTTCAGGAGCGACAGAAGAACGTACACGTACATGACTTCCCGCTGGTCTCGAGAGTACGCATTGCGCAAATATTCGTGTAACGCGGCCGGTCTCGCGGATCGAGGGGCCGTGCTCACGTGCATAGTTGGGCGCGTACGTCCTTTGTGGGCTCCCCATCTGTCCCCTCCTCATCATGAGACTCCTCCTCGTCCGTTCACGGCACTGTAAATGTGGAACGCTTACCATTATCCTGAAGTTAAGAGCATGAATGGAGGGCGGGTCGTTTTCAAAAAGGGGTTCTCGCCTCTTCCTCCTCCTCCTCCTTCTCCTCCTCCTCCTCCTCCTCCTCCTCCCCCCCCTCCTCCTCCTCCTCCTCCTACGCGCCGCGCACACTTGTCTTGAAAACAGCAGCTACATGGATGAAGGGCGGTTTGTTTTCAAAATGGGGCTCTCACCTTGGCGCAGCGGACAATCCGTCATAAACACATGAAGCAGTTACGCTTAAGTCGGGTCTGTCCCTCTACAGGGGGAATGTTCAAAAATAGTGAAAACATATGGGACAATTGTTCTTGTGTGTTTGATTATGTTTTGTATTGTTTTACATGTTGTAATTTGTCGTTCAATATCCGCCTGTAGGGGGACACGCCCGAACTAAAGTTACACGGATAGATTGCGAATTGGTCTCAAAATGGGTATCGCCTTGGCGCCGCGCACGTTCGTCATCAAACAAAGCCAGAGTTTGTGCGGCGAGAGGGCGGGTTGTTTCCAAAATTGGGTTTTCGCCGCAGACGTCCCCAAACAAACAGTGAAATTGATTCCACGTGTGCACTTGCTACACGGGCGGAAGGTGGCTCTTTTTCTAAATGCGGCGTTCGTCTGGGATTTCTATTACGGCTCGAGGCCAGCATTTTGCAAACGGAGTTGCCGCCTGATTTGAGGTCCCACGGGGCCCTGTTTTTCAATGGGACGCTTCGCGCATTGCAAGGCATGCTTGCATGTGTTAATGAGGAGGGGACTTGGGACGGAAGGGTGCTTTGTAGCATCCTCGATACATTTTGGGTTTACTCCGCTTCTCCTCCTCGGGCTCCTCCTCCTCCTCGGCCTTCTAGGCCTCCTCCTTCTCCTCCTCCTCCACCTCCTCCTCCTCCTCATCCTCGAGCCTCGACCTCCCGCCCCGGCCCCCTCGGCGCGGAAGGTGCCGGGCCTGGAGCTCAGCCCAGCCGCCAGCCCGGAGTACGCCTCCGCCGGCGCCGACGCTGCGGCCGCCGCCGAGGCGACGGAGGCTGCGACGGCGGAGGGCGTCGCGCTGGAGGGCGCCGCGCCGCCGCCGACGACGACGGCGACGACGACGACGAAGACGACGACGACGACGACGACGACGACGACGACGACGACGACGACGAGGACGCCGACGACGACGACGACGACGACGAGGACGACGACGAGGACGCCGACGACGACGACGTCGACGAGGACGACGACGAACTCGACGAAGACGACGACGAGGACGAAGACGACCACGACGAGGACGACGACGAGGATGACGACGACGACGACGACGACGACGACGACGACGACGACGACGACGACGACGAGGGCGACGGCGGCGACGACGGTCGGCGGCGGCGAAGATCGCGACGACGGCGGCAGCGGCGCGCCAGAGGGCACCACGCCGCCGACGACGACGACGACGACATTGTGGTTTCGGGGGTTGTTGGACGTCCTGTGGCTGTTCTCGTCGCCCAGGCCGGGCGTGGCTCGGAGGCCAGGGACCGATTTTGAGCGGATTTCGGTCGGACAATTGCTGCGTAGGCGACGGCGACGGCAGTGTCGAGGTTCGAAGTTTGAGTTTCGACGTCTTTGGACGTCTTCCGCCCTTCTCGAGGCCTCTGACATCATCAGGGAACCTCTGGAGGCCATCGGGGACCTCTGGAGGTTGAGGTTCGAGGATCGAGGTTGTGGGGACTTCCTGGGGGGCCGTCGTCGCCACAGCTGGATCCGCCTTAGAATTTCGATCAGAACGCGCCACGCCGCCTGGGAGGAAGAGGATCCCAGATGCCTAACGCTTTGAAAAAATGAGAGGTGCTTTGGGTGATTTTCGGCCTCCCGAGCTGCCTTCAGGTCCCGATGCAGTTAGGAAACGACCCGGGACGAACATGTAGTATTGAGCAAGTCACGACATGGGAGGTTTGGGGCTCGAGATTCGGACAGCGAGGATCGAGGTGTTGGGGGATTATTGGAGGGACTTTGCAGCCACGGTTGGATCCGCCTTGGAGTATTGTTCACCAGAACCATCAGATCCAGTGTTTGATATGGAGAATGGCGATGTGTCGACACCCCCCAGGCCACGCCGCGGGGTATAGGCATCGTCGTCGTCAATTCTCGAGGATTGGGGATTTCTGTTTTTGGACGTTTTTGCCACCGTAGGAACATCGAGGTCGGCGGACGCGGATCGAGGACAGAAGAGCGAGGCTCGAGTGCCGCCTCGTCACTCTTCCGCCCCTCCCTGCCCCCCCCCCCGGTGGGAGAGGGAGTTGGAAGAGATGCCCCCCTCAGTGGAGTACCAAGGTATACCAGGCTTGCTCTTCGTAGACCTGGATCGCGCATACTCGATGTGTGTTCTTTTATTGTTTCACACTTGCCGCCCTTCTCCGCCCGCCAGGATAATGTGCCTGACCCTTGGCCTAAGTCGGCCTCTCTTTTTTTCCATTGCCACAGAACGCCACGATCATCCGATCCAGGTCCGTGCAACGTCAAAGAGGAGGAGCCCCCCTCAGCCCCGTAGCTGGCTCAAGCTTGAGTCGCTGCGTTTCGAGACAGGTTGTGTTCGTCCAGGTGTTGTCGCAATCGGCCGTAGCGGTTGTATCTTGCTCCTGCACGCATCCAGTTGTGAACGATGTGTTCGTGTTTGTTCGCTCTTGGAGCTGCGAATTGAATATCATAACTACGCAGCTCATTGTTTAAACGGGCTGCGCAAGGCCTCTGATGCGGCTGAAACGCCGAGCCGCAACCCTAAGCTGCGGCATCACATTGATCCATTTTGGTTGTATGAGCGTTCCCTTCACCCCTTCTCACTTATCGGGCAGGGGACGATTTGCAAATAAGCATATCCTGTGGTTGCTATATTTTCGAGAGACGGTTTGGTTGTTTACATGGGTTGTGCACGGTCAGCCGACGACCCAGACTCCGCAAGGGTCGACTATTTTGCGTCAGCGGGATGTCATTCGTGGAGGGCGGCGCTCTGGGTCTGAGGACGCGCTGCATGCCCAGTACCAGCGAAAAGGGATGCAAGGGGAACAGGCTTGCTTTCGGCGGAACGACGGCCCTCATGCTCTCCTCTCTCCGTCTTACGTTGCGTCGCAGCTTTGATGTGGTGATATGCAGTAGGGGCGGTGCCACGCTGGAAGCGCGTACTGGCGGTGATCAGGGGCGTTTGCAAAGGTTTCTGGACGTTTCTCTGACATGTTCTGGAGCCCGTCGTGGTTTCTTTTTCATATGATTCTGAATGGCTCCTGACACTTCCGAAGGCTGTGGACGTTTTGGATGTATCATTTTGTGTCGTGGCAGGTGTTCGAGCATTTTGTCAAGTGTACATACAAGCTTGAAAATATAAGAGTTGCACAAGTAATGTTATATGTATGAAAGGTTATGCCAGCTCGCTACGCTGCGCCGTTACAATCTTGGTCGCACGGCGTCAGCGAGGTGCGTTGCGACCACCATCGCCGTTAAAGGGCCCGGTCCTCCTCCTCCTCCTCCTCCTCCTCCTCCTCCTCTTCCTGCTCCTCCTCCTCCTCCTCTTCCTCCTCTGCCTGTTCTTCTCGGAGAGCACGAACGCTGGACGGTTGGATCGGAGCACGGCAACTCCTTGTTGGGAGAGGATTTCTGACAGCACGGGAAGAATGATTACCCCAGCAAGGCGATCTATTAGCAGCAAAAGTGACCCATGGGAGCTGCTGTACATGTGAGACCTGCGGGGGGACCGGACCTGCGGCACTTGTGGGACTTGTGGAACCCATGAGACTTGCGACACTAGTGGGAAATGCGGAACCTCGACACCTGCAGTCGGACTTGTGGGATCTGTGCGACTTGAGATACTTGCAGCGCCTGCGATGCCTTGGGACCTGTCGAGCGTGCGGGGCCTGTGAGACCTGTGAGACCTGTTGTGCCCCTCGCGAGATGTTCGACACTTGTGGCACCTTTGGAACCTGTGCGGGTACTCCAATTGCTCCCTTCCCCCTTGAGCGTCAGAACTGTCTTAGGCTGGGGAGACCTGGTGGTCGTTTTCTTTTCTATTTCGTGGCGCCTGGAGGCGTGGGTCCTTCCGCTAAGACTAGATCCAGCCGTGGCCATGAGGGCTCCAGCAGGCAACCAAAACAAATCGTACGTAGGACCCCGCGAGTGGAGGGGGACGGGGAGGGGGAGGCGGAGGGGAGGGGGAGAAGGAGAAGGAGGGGGAGGAGGAGGAGGAGGAGGAGGAGGAGGAGGAGGACAGAAGGACGCACAGCGTGCCAGAACCGGGGCCGAGGCTCCGATCGGACGACGCACACGCAGGGATAGAGTAAGACCGTTCGGACATCCCTCACTCTGACGATTGAGCCTCGATCCTCCCCTCCTCGCCGCCACCACCCCCCCAAGCAGGTGCCTCCGCGGAGGGCTTCCAGTAGCGAGCACAGGTGCCCAGATGGCGTGGTCTGCTCGGAGCTCCACGACGCCCGCGGTCCTCTCAGCCCTCTTGCCTCCTGCTTAGTCTCCTCAGCCTCCTCCTCCTCCTCCTCCTCCTCCTCCTGCTCCTCATCCCTCCCTCCTGCTTCCTCATCTCTCGTCCGTCATCCCCTCCCTCCCACTCATCATCATCCTCATCATCATCATCATCATCATCATCATCATCATCATCATCATCTGCCCTTCCCTCTCCTGCCCCCTCTCGCGGTCAATGTCTCCTCTTTCTCCCCTGTCTTTCTTCTTCCGTCTTCCTTCTCCTGCTCCCCCAATCCCTCTTCCCCTTCCTATTCCATCCTCCCTTTTTTTCTCCTCCACCCTCCGCCCACATCCGCTCCCCTCCCACATTTCCTTTCGGCGTTCTCCCTCATCACATCCCCATCCGTCCTCCACTCCCTCCATTCCTCCCCCTGTCCTTGCCCCCTCCTCCCTACCTCCTTCCGTTCTCCTCCCTCCTCAGTCTTTTTCCCCCTTCCATCCTTGCCCCCGTCCCTCCCTCCTGCCTCCCTCCCTCCTCCCTCCTCCCCCATTTTAAACATTTGCAAGAGTTTCACGGATCGAGGGCGGGTCGTTTTCAAAGTGTGGTTCTCGCTTTAGTGCCGCGCACCTTCGTTTCAATGTGTTGCAAGATCTTCACGGGTTGAGGGCAGTTTCTTTTCAACATGTGGTTCTCGCTTTAGCGCCGCGCACATTCGCTTGAACAATGTATAAGAGTTTCACGGATTGAAAGTGGTTCCTCTTTCAAAATAGGGTTCTCACCTTACGGCCGCGCACATCCGTTTAAACATGCAGGAGTTTCACGGATTGAGGGCGGCTCCGTTTCAACATGTATTTCTCGCCCTAGCGCCGCGCACAGTCGTTTTAAACATGTGCAAAAGTTCCACGGATCCCCACGATCAGCGTACCAACATTTGTGTTTCGGAAGGTATGTTGATTCGCGGTGCTGAAACCCCAAAATTGGAGTTCTGGCACGATCCCAGATCGTCCAAGACGCAGCAGTCAGGTTGATCCGTGTCGTTGAAATCCCGAGAACAATGCTTCGGTATGTTTCAGGATCTTCAAACGGTTGTCTTCCAACGAGGCAGTTCCCCCAATGGAAATGAACCGTTGTAGGGGCGTATGAAGAGGGAGCTTGGAGAGAGGATTAATTCCAACATCGTTAATAACTATTGGGCTTACACTGGTCCTCCTCCTCCTCCTGCTCCTCCTCCTCCTCCTCCTCCTCCTCCTCCGTCTCCTCCTCCTCCTCCCTCTCCTTCCCCTCCTCCTCCGCCTCTCAATAGTTCGTCCGCGCTCCTCCATACCACTTCCCCTTTCCCTCTACCCCCTGCGCAGGTCCCGTTCGTCGCGGCCCGCGTGGAGCTCCACGACGCGTCCCGCCGCGCTCGCTCGCTCGCGGGCTCGACGGCACCCCCGTCGGTCCGAAAGGGTTGGGGGGCGGACTTCCTCGCGGGGCCTCGGCAGCCAGAAGGGGGGGTGGGGAGGAGGAAGGGGGGGGAGGAGGCGGGGGGGGGGGGGGGAGGAGGAGAGATGAGGAGGATGAGGAGGGAGGAGTGGATGGAAGGAGTAGGAGGAGCAGGAGCAGGAAGAGCAGGAAGAGGAGCGGATGAGCAGCAGGGAAGGCAGGAGGAGGAGGAGGAGGTAGGAGACAGTAGGAGGAAGGAGGAAAAAGAGGAAGGAGGAGGAGAGGATGGAAGGGAGGATGAGGAAGGGTAGGAGTTGGAAGAGGAGGAGGAGGAGGAGGAGGAGGAAGGAGGAGGACGATGAGGAGGAGGAGAGGAGGGAGGTAGGAGGAGGAAGCCGAGGAGGGTAGTAGGGAAGGTAGTGAGGAGGAGGACGAGGAGGAGGAGGACTAGGATGAGGGAGGAGGAGGAGGAGAGGAGGAAGAGGAGGAGAAGGAGGATTCGGATTCGGATTCGGAACGCTTGCGTAGCAAGATCAACAGAGATCACTTGGGACGTAGCCCTCGCACGAATCGCGAAACATACCCCTTCCTCTTCTTGGAATCTGGAGGGGCTTGCACGGGCTCGCGAGGTTCCGAAGAGGAGGAGGAGGAGGAGGAGGAGGAGGAGGAGAAGGAGGAGAAGGAGGAGAGGGGGGGGAGGACCAGCTAAGCGCGCTCCCGTCATAGCTGACGTCCTACCCCTCCCTCTCAACCTTTACCATGGCGTAAATCTCCTTTCTATTCGAGCAATCGGATGTGGCAGCATGGTACAGCATTTCATGACATAGGTCCATGCGCAACATGGCATAGCGTGGCGTGGCGACGCCCCAAAGTGGGGGTTCTGCGGCACAAACAACCAACGAATCGACACCGAATAAGGAATCAATTCCGATGGCTTTGTTCGGAGGCAATTTTCTAAATGATAGGGGCTTACTTGGGAAGGCCGGAAACATTGGAAATAATGACGCCAGCGTTGCAGTCGGAGCACGATTCGGGACGAGCGGAAGCACGGAAACGAAGCCAGCGCTGCAGCGGGAGACCGATTCGGAACGAGCGGTAGCTCGAACATGAGGCCAGCGCTTCAGCGAGAGCAGGATTTTTGGTGGAATTAGCCTGGCGAAGAACCCAGCCATATGCAGTTGTCAGTACCGCAGCTGCGGGGTTTATCTTCAGTGGAACTCCCCATAGGACTACGGAACGTGTGAGGGGTGTGCCGAGATGGGTGCCACTGGGGCATTCGGCGAAGCTCCCTATGGGGACATGAAACACGCGCGGGGCGTGCCGACATGGGTGGCGGAAACGCATGTGAGGGCCGCCATTCGGGCCTCCAGTGGAGCTCCCTATGGGTCCCCGAAACATGATGCTGCTGCGGGGGGGGCCGGGATGGGTGGCGGAGACGCATGTAAGCGCCGCTTCTGGGGCCTTCGGTGGAGCTCCCTATGGGGCCACGAAGCGCGTGAGGGGTGTACTGGGATGTGTAGCGGGGACGCATGCGAGCGCCGCCACTGGGGCCTTCGGTGCAGCTCCCTATGGGGCCACGAAACGTGTGAGGGGTGTGCCGAATTGGGTGCGGGTGGTGACGCATGCGGGCGGTGCCACTGGGGCCTTCGGTGGGGCTCCCTATGGGGCCACGAAACCTGTTGTTGTGAGGGGCGTGCCAGGATGGGTGGCGGGGGCGCATGTGAGCGCGGCCGCTGGGGCCTTCGGTGGAGCTCCCTATGGGGCCACGGAACGTGTGAGGGCTGTGCCGAATTGGGTGGGTGTGGGTGACGCATGTGAGCGCCGCCACTGGGGCCTCCGGTGGATGATGGGGCCACGGAACCTGTCAGGGATGTGCCGAAATGTGTGTGCGGGACGCATGCGAATGTGAGCGCCACCACTGGGGCCTTCGGTGGAAGAGCTCCCACCATGGGAATTGGGCCTACGAAACGTTGTTTGGGGCTGTGCCGAATTGTGGGTGTGGTGACGCAAGGTTTTAGGTGACGGGCGGCAGCACTGGGGCGCTGATTCGGTGGAGCTTCCTAATGGGGCCAGCGAAACGGTGGTGCGTGCGAGGGGTGTGCCGAATTTGGGTGTGGTGACGCATGCTGGCGGCAGCACTGGGGCCTTCTGTGGGGCTCCCTATGGGCCATAGGTGGGGAGCTTGTGAGGTGGTGTGCCAAATGGGTGTTACGGGACGCATTCGGGGCGGCGAGCACACTGGGGCCTTCGGTTGGGCTCCCTATGGGGCCACAAAAGTTGGCAGGGGTGGCCATGGGGGGGGGTGGGTGGGGTGGGTGGGTGTGCGGGACGCATGCGGGCGGCAGCACTGGGGCCTTTTGTTGGGCTCCCTATGGGGCCACGAAACGTGTGAGGGGTGTGCCGAATTGGGTGTGCGGGACGCATGCGGGCGGCAGCACTGGGGCCTTCGGTGGAGCTCCCTATGGGGCCACGAAACGTGTGAGGGGTGTGCCGAATTGGGGGTGTGCGTGACGCATGCGGGCGGCAGCACTGGGGCCTTCGGCGGAGCTTCCCATGGGGCCACGAAACGTGTGAGGGGTGTGCCGAATGGGGTGTGGGTGACGCATGCGGGCGCAGTGTCACTGGGGCCTTTCGGTGGGGTTCCCTAGTGGGGTAGGGGCCACGAAAGCGTGTGAGGGGTGTTGCCGCATTGGGCGTCGTGTGGCTGACGAATGCAGGCGGCACGCATGCAGGCGGCACACTGGGGCCTTCGGTGGGGCTCCTATGGAGCCACGAAACGTGTGAGGGGGTGTTCGAATTGGGTGTGCGAGAACGCATGCGGGCGGCGAGTGCACTGGGGCCTTGAGTGTGGCTCCCTATGGGCCCACGAAACGTGTGAGGGGTGTGCCACCTTGGGTGTGGCGTGACCTCATGCGGGCGGCAGCGCGGGACTTCGGGGGGGCTCCCTATGGGGCCACGAAACGCGTGAGGGGGTTGTGCCGAATTGTGTGTTGCCGTGACGCATGCGGGCGGCAGCACTGGGGCCTTCGGTGGGGCTCCCTATGGGGCCACGAAACGTGTGAGGGGTGTGCCGAATTGGGTGTGCGTGACGAATGCGGGCGGCAGCACTGGGACCTTCGGCGGGGTTCCTTATGGCGACTGGGGCCTTCGGTGGGGCTCCTTATGGGGCCACGAAGCGTGTGAGGGGTGTGCCGAAATCTGTGTGCGGGACGCATGCGGGCGGCAGCACTGGAGCCTTCGGTGGGGCTCCCTATGGGGCCACGAAGCGTGTGATGGGGTGTGCCGAAGTGGGTGTGGGTGACGCATGCGGGCGGCAGCACTGGGGCCTGTGGTGGGGCTCCCTATGGGGCCACGAAACGTGTGAGGGGTGTGCCGAATTTGGTGTGGGTGACGCATGCGGGCGGCAGCACTGGGGCCTTCGGTGGGGCTCCCGATGGGGCCACGAAGCGCGTGAGGGTGTGGTGCCGAATTTAACTGTGGGTGAACGCAATGCGGGCGGGCAAGCAACTGCGCCTTCGGTGGGGCTGCCCTGTCTGGAGCCACGGCAGGGCACGAAGCGTGTGAGGGGTGTGCCGAAGTGGGTGTGCGTGACGCATGCGGGCGGCAGCACTGGGGCTTTCGGTGGGGCTCCCTATGGGGCCACGAAGCGTGTGAGGGGTGTGCCGAATTGGGTGTGGGTGACGCATGCGGGCGGCAGCACTGGGGCCTCCGGTGGGGTTCCCTACGGGGCCACGAAACGTGTGAGGGGTGTGCCGAAATGGAAGAGGGAGGAGGAGGAGAGGAGAGGAGAGGAGAACGCGGGGCGACGTCTCTTCAAAACGAGGACCCAACACCACAGGATGGTTGGGAAAAAATTAGCCTGACGAAGGACCCAACCATACGCAGTCGCGAATACCGCAATTGTGGATAGATTCCTCGGTGGCGCTCCCTATGGGGCCACGAACCGCATGCAGGGCGTGCCGAAATGTGTGGCGGGGGTACACAACGCGAAGGAATATTATAGTTCTGAGTACGAGAGACTGAACGCGGATGAGTCTGAGCGCGAGCGCGTCTGTTTGTGAATGGGATTGCGTGCGGACGAGTCTATGTTCATGAATGGGAGCATGACTAAGCCCAGTGTAATTGCATATGAATGTGAACGGTTTGAGTATAACTGGTTCTGAGTACTTGTGAAATTGATTGTGGCCGACGCAAGGAGCCCCCCCCCCCCCAGAAATGCCAATGGCAGCGCCCGCGCGCCGCGACGCCCATGTGGCGCTCCCTATGGGGCCACGAACCGCATGCAGGGCGTGCCGAAATGTGTGGCGGGGGTACACAACGCAAAGGAATACGATAGGTCTGATTACGAAAGAATGAGCGCGGGCGAGTCAGAGCGCGAGTGAGTCTGAGTGTGAATGGGTCTGCGCGCGAGTATATTCGCATGAAAGCGATCATGGCTACGCCTAGTGTAAATGTATATGAATGTGAATGGCTCGAGCACGCCTGTCCGAACACTCGTGACACTGGGCGTGGCCGCCGCAGGCAGCTTCCGCGGGAAACCCGACGGCAGCGCCCGCACGCCGCGACGCCCATGTCGGCACGCCCCTTGCGAGGATCGCGCCCGCTTTCGTCCCTTATTTTCCTTCCTTTTTGCCCGCGCGTTCCAAAAATCCAAGGTTGCGAACGCAGCGCAGCGCGGAGTCCCCGCGACGCGCGCCGGTCGCCCCAGGCGGGGTCCCAGCGACGCGCGCGGGTCGTCCGTTGCGCGGAGCAGAGAGAGCTGGCTAGCTCACCGGCTGGCTGATAGCGGGCAAGTCTCTGACCGCTGGGTAGAGCGACGACGGGCGAACGAGGCGCCGGGCGGCCCGCAGCACGGAGTTCCCGCGACGCGCGCTGGTCGCCCCGAGAGGGTCCCAGCGACGCGCGCGGGTCGTCCGCGGCGCGAGGCCAAACAATTAGTCGGGCAGTCGAGAGAAGGCGCGGCTCGGGGGAGACGCTCCTCCGGTCAGGCCTCGCGGACAAACTCGGTGAAGCCGAGCTCCCTGGCGGGGGCCGTCGCCCCCCTCCTGCACCGCTTCGCGTGCGCCGCA